AAATCAGTTGTTTGCAAGTACTCCAGAAGGTGGTCGCCCCTCGAGTTCGTGTCCGTGCTGCCCCACACAACATGCTGTGCGTTTGCATCACAGCCAACCACAAGAGGGAGCCCACTACTTCGACAGTACTCTATCAACTCAGCCAGCTCCTTGGTTGGTGGAGCCCTTTCTGAGTCGTACGGGAGATAGGCGGAGCAGACCACCAAGTGCCTGCCCCGTCCTCTGTCATCTTTCAGCTGAAGTCGTAGAGCTACGAGATCCCTGAAACAGAAATCAGCCATTAGATAAGACTCGATTCGTCTATCGACATAAATCCAAGTCCTCGGGTTCAGTTGGCTGTCCCTCTTATAATAAAGAGAGTCCTCCACCTGGCCCAGACCTCTTACTCGTCCCTTGTAAACCCAAGGTTCTTGTATGAGGCATACGCCTGTCTGCTTTACAGCAAGTTGACGACCTATTAGACAGGTCGTCCCCTTACTGTGCTGCAAATTGCTCTGTAAGAAGGTTACTTTGTCCATCACTGATGTACTAGGTTCCCTCCTCCGTTAGCGATGCCGACGGTTCCGACCCTTGGTCGGAGCCAAGAACCGCCACACGAGCCAAAAGCTCGCTGACATCTTTCTCGATCTCTTCGGGTGCCGGGAGCAATTCCGCCGCCTCTTCGAGATAAACACCGCGAGGTTGAGCCCCCTCCGTCGCAACGGAACTAGGTCCCGCTGCTTCGGTGGAGCTCTCTCCCTTACCTTGCGCAGCCGAAGCACCCGCTTTCGTCACAAAAGTGACGCGCGAGACCCCCGCGTGCGCCTGAAAGTTCTGTCGCTGGAGTGCCTGATAGGACGTCTCATCGACACCAAATGCGAGGAGAATCCTACCAGGCTCCTCCCTGCGAAAGAACGTCCTCCATAGACTAGTCCTGAAACCAGGATTTTGCCACCAGAGGGCGTAACTACCATCTTAAATTCTAAAATTGCATTTTCTTTAAATTTCGCATAATGAAGTAAACATTCTTTTTTCACATTTTTAAAGAGAACCAGTTTATCTATCATTTTCGTAAAAACAAAATTTTAAAAACAAAGATGGTGTGGGGCGTTCAATTGTTTTTGCAATCACCTGCTTTAACTTCTTAACCGTTGGACTGATTGTAACATGTAAAAGAGCATTCCTTGGGCAACAAGAATCAACCAAAATATAGTTAATTTAGTTGAATCCTTCTCCGCCAGGGGGCTAGTTTTGACACTATAATCCAAAATCCTAAAAAAATAAAAGAATAAAAATGCTTAAATTGTATCTTATTTGACGTATTTCCGGTATTTGTCGATGGCGTGAAAGAAAAGCACCCTCTACACTTTTAGGTAGGCATTAGAAAATTAAACAAATGAAACATGATGCATTATAAAATAATGGCCAAATAGGCTACTTTTTTATAAAGAAAAAGTCATATCATTCCATTTGATTTTTTTGATTTTTTTAGGATTTTGGGTCATATTGTCAAAAATAGCCCCAAGGAATGCTCTTTTCAACAATACCAAATTTGTTAAAATCGGTCAAACGGAAGTTAAAGCAGATTTATTACAAAAACAATTAAACGCCCCACACCATCTTTGTTTTTGAAATAACTTTTTTTTTGTTTTTACGAAAATGATAGATATACTGGTTCTCTTTAAAAATGTGAAAAAAGGTTATTATAGGAAATTTAAAGAAAATGCAATTTTAAAATTTAAGATGGCAGTTACGCCCTCTGTTGGTCATTTTTAGAACTTGAAAATATTTTCCAGCGATTCTTCATGACCGATTTACCCAATAATTTTTGTTACCCCTAAGTCATATGACGAACAGTTCTCGAGATATGGCCGAGGAACAGTCTTATTGGGTCACCCGGTACATTATCAATTAATTGACGTTTGTAATTTAAAGGTTGACAGTCTCAAATCGTGTCTCATCGGACAACTTCGGACAGACTTTTTTTACCCTGAAACTCGCATACACCCAGGCGACGTCATTGCCCATATTTGACTTGCAATTAGCAGTCCATGGTCTAAGATAACATTTCACTTAAAAATGACGTACGTACTCTTTCAAAATAACCCCACCAACAGCGTACTTACAGGCCGCGCGCTATACCATAACGAGCGCGCAGTGAACGAGTTTGCGCGGTTTGAGGTCGATTCGTATTTTACGGAACGTCAACGTCACGTCACTGACCGGTAACGTCACGTCAAAATATTGTATCTAAACTTATCTCGACGGTTCGTGACGCTGACAGTGCCCTCCGTTACGTCTCTATGTGAGTGTTATCATAAGAAATATAAAGCGTTTTCGAAAATTGAACCGGTTTAACCAGGTTGGTAAAAATTACCATGGAAACAATTGTGGCAATAATGGTTACCATAGCAACATCTACCAACTCCCTAAACCGGTTGAATTTTCGAAAACAGATTTAAGTTACGCAATTGAACTATACTGGCATTCATTATAAGAAGGTAGTAGATGGCGCTGTGTTTGAAGATAAACACACACAAGAAAAATATAAAACGGCACCAAATTATTGTAGAAATATTCAGCACTGCGAACAGAAATAAATCTTTGACAATAACAACCAATGACACTTCGGCAGTTACTACCACCTTACAAAATTCACCAGTCGTTTTATGTTTCATTGTAATACTGACTCGTGTTTTAACCAATCACAGTGAAGGTCAAAGCCTCCCTATGCTTTCTACCGCTACCTTCTTAAAATGAATACAGTATAGGAATCTCAATCCATAAGTGTTCCCGACAGTTGCCGATGCTATATTCGGTCTGCGCCGTTATTCTCCACGATATATAGCGCGCGTCCTGGATCTTGCTCACTTATTTAAGCATTCACCACCTATACTTCATTATCCGCATCGTTGTTGATCCCCATATGCGTACGATTATCATGCAGGTGTTATTTTATCACGCCCAACCAATTAATTCGTCCGATAACGGCTTGTATGGACATAGGTATTTGTCCAGATAAAAATTCTTTCTTGCGTCGATTTCAAATAAAATGAAGGGTGAAGGGTATTATTATTTTTTTTTTCACCCTTCATTAGAGACCTATTAACGAAATGGAGTCATTCATCAAGCATATTCAAATAAAATGTTTCCTTATTTATGCGTTCCCTGAATTTCTGACGCTCATTAAATACAATAACAACCCTGACTTACACAAATTCTAAATTTACAATACAAAAAAACTAGCATTACAATGATCATTAAATAAACTCAGCAAATTCTGTGTCCATTTGACAGAGTTTCCCTCAGGCCGTAGCCAAATAAATTAAAACATTGTGCAAGATGTCCCGCCTGAAACCTCTAATGGGCTCGTTCATAAGACACAACAGTTACCGATACGCTACGAGGTAGCGTATCGGTAACAGTTGGGGTCTTATGTCACGTTCCCTACTTTGACATATGTAGCGCTACTAAAAATGGCCAACTGCTCCGTAAAGAGCGTAAAAGTAGCGACATAATTATAAGACGTATCAGTAACTGTTCCACAACAGTTGTGTCTTATTAAATTACGTTTACAGCACGTAAATTTTCAACTGCTGATTGGCTCGCTCCCATCGTCGGCATTATTTCAACATATAGAAACGGGCAGTTTAAACAACAATATCTTTGGCGAGCAGACCGCATGTCTCTTAGTTAAATTACTGCTTGCAAAACAGGTTTTGTGGTCGGTAACGTTGTTTAATCAGAGTCGGATTTCCTGTTGGATTACGTCTATGCATCCTATCAAGCGGTCAAAATGTGCCTACTCGGTAACAGCAAAGTCTTAGGTAATAGGCCAACGGAGCAACCAGGGACACAGAGTAGGTACGGCTCGGTATAATATTTTTCGTTCTCGAAACCAGCACACTGCCAAAGAAGATATTGCCACTTTTCATGATTAAGTATCTGTGCGGGATAGAAAGTCCCTTCTCAGGAGTACGCCATATACCAAATCGGGAAGAAAATGTACCTACTCTATATTTATGCTTTATCAGACGAGGACACCTGGCGACGCCACCGCCTTGTGCTCCAGACTGCTACCGCAACCGCACCTGTCAACGTTTTTGGGTCACCGTTTTGTATATTTTCTTTGTGACGGATATGCCCCGTGGGAGGAGCACAGTGAAGTTTTTTGAGAAACGTGAACCCAGTCAGGAGATCTGCGTAAAGGCGGCTATGTCTCCATATTTCGTAACAGTACACAACAACCCGTCCGAGTGAAGGGAAACCTTACCTACAGTATGTCCTATACTACCAATTAAGAAATTTTAATTGTCATCTTCCGACATTCATATGGACAAACATACAAAAAATGGCCAGCCAATTGTAAATCAATACAATGGACGAGATCAAGAATCGCTTCTCAAAGTCGATCCCTTCCTTAAACAGTTGTATGGTAACCACTGTCATATCTCCGGCGATTACAAGAGCGTATAATGCCAGCCATGGCAAAAATAAGTACGGATTTCTCTGAAAATGAAATAAATTAATATTTGTGTGATTAGACGAACACTACCATTGTAGAGCCAGCGACCAGTAGAGCGTAAGATTGAAAAGACAGAACCAAGTTAATTAATTTACAATCTCTTTCGTGTTCGGGCGTTAGGCATTTGATGTGGAGATCGATCTTCCCACGATAGAACGAGCAAGGTAACGTTCGACCGCCTTGCACTATCTTCAACATATCGTACAAACACACTCCCTAAAAACGGCCGATACAATGCTAAATCCTGATCGTGAAAGGCAACTTAAACCATGCCCAACAGTCCAACAAATGCTCCATACATATTACATAAATCTAACAAGGGAAAATGACAGGCTTTTTTCAAAGCGCTTTGATCTCTTCTAAGCGACGCAGCCAAAAATTGGAATGGGTTCGGAAATCTGGAACTTCTACACATTTTAAATTTGAAAGAGAACATTTTCGGAAATATTATATCAATCAATTTTGCAAAAAAAAATACAATCAATTGTTATGTCAAAATTTTGAGACGGTGTAACAGTCAGTTTTCGATCCAAAATGAATTGCTATGAAAATAAGACTGCGGATAACAGTCCTGTGCTAGAAAAACCTGCGAAAAAAGGTAGTCTCTATGGCGGGCTTAAATTTATGTGTCTATGGTTAGTTTCTTCTCTAATTACAACTGCGTATACCAACACAAGTACTAGAATATCAGGTAAGGGTGAACTATATTCGATAGTGGTTGGTAATTATCGTTGTATTTCAGCATTATGGCTGATTTTTAACACAAGCGATACGTTTTTGATGCTATTATCCACTATGCTGTTGGGGTACGGTTTGAACACTGTAAGTTATTTTTTGCCTTAGTACTTTTTATTTCGTGTAATCGTCTAGGAGAATCCATATGTGGTACTTCCATGGATCGCTGTATCTGGTTGGAATATGTATCATTTAGAACTGAACGGGTTTTTAAACTTCTACAATATCTTTACTAAAGCAAAATATGCTTCGAGACTGGGATCGCTAACATGTGGAATCATGTTTTTAACAATAGGTATGTTTTTCTGATAATTACTATCAGTACATATCACTTGCTGTCCATGGCCCGTATGAATAAAAGTAAGCAAATGCTTATACTTGCAAAATTCAAAGTAAATACTCGTAACTGCCCCTTCATACTGGTCTATTTAGCATGGTTTAGCAGCGCTGCACTGCGTCCTGTCCTTCTGCTTAGCAGCGCTGCTAAGTCGCCCAGTGCGAAGGAGCACTTACGAGTATTTACTTTGAATTTTGCAAGTATAAGCATTTGATTACTTTTATTCATACTTCACCATGTATGTATTCGAAGTAGGCCAACGATAGCTCTTCAATGCACTCTATTCTGCTCGTATGATACACTAAATTTCGAAATTAAATTGAGAGATTTAGGGCCAATCTTTTCATCTCCCCATAAACTTATTTGGTAAATAAGTACCTTGACAACGATTGGATCAACAATGGAATTTATTCGGAAAATAAACCCAATTCACATTATCGACCACGTCACGGTCAGGTCAATGAATTATTGCAGCGTGTATTCCTGAAGGCCCATTCGCATTTAGGTTACGGTCAGAGCATGTTCATAAGCAATACACGCTACAGTAATTGACCGCACCGTGACGTGGCCGATAATGTAAATCGGGCTTAAAGTTATTGTGAAGTAGAAAGAGTAAGCTTTGATAAAACACCTAAAAATACGAGCCCCTACGGACCTGTGTGACATCCTACGTCAACGTTGAACATTAGTCTGCTCAAATGTAGAAATAGTAAAATATAAAATTTAAAAAAATTCTACGTCGACTGGGAATCGAACCCGGGCCGCCCGCGTGGCTACAACAATTAGACGAACGACGACGACGACGGCTAGCATCTTACACGACGATACTGTATCTGTCGTCAGAATTCGTGTCCAATACGCTTCTCGAGAACAGGCATTCTAAACTGCTCTTGCGCAGTGAGGTACTTTTCCGGTGAAGCGTTTTGAGTGAAATGAAAAAGTATCCTCACTCCATATGGACCAATAGACCATTAGTCCACCAAAGTTGTAAAATCTCCGGGCGACTGGCACTAGCAAGAGAGCGAAATTAAGTCGCCGATACTGTGTACGTGCGTGAATCCGAGGATACAGTCGCCGTAGCACTCTTTGCACGGCATAACTTAACACAGAAGGAAACCAATTAATAGATGGTGCCTTTAGTAATTATTATTCCATAAGAAGTCTTTAACAGCACCGTTAAAGGCAAAGTAGTGAATTCATCTACCTACCGCGAGTGGTCTTCAAACCGGTTTGAACATCTTACCGCTAGTACCAGTGAAACACCCGAGTGAAAAGGAACTCCCACGAACCGAAGAGGCACGAAGTAGCGGTAAGGTGTTGTTTTCAGAGCAGGATATCCCTCGAAGGGGTAACCGCCATCAAACCCGCTACAGCCGCCACCAGATCGATAAACTCTACCGACGTGGACGCCCACCCCCTCACCAGCACCTACAGCGCAGTCATTTAAGGTACCAGTCCTCAACCCACCAGCGCCGCCACCACCGAAAATCCAGCCGACGAAACGACGGACGATGAATAAGAACTCCGCCGACACGTCTGATATGCACACCGGTAACGAAACTGCCGCCAAAATTGCCAAATAGGAAAGGAAGCTCGCATCGCTGCCGACAGCCCGGACGAATTCTGCGTAATCCAAGATTTCGTACGGAAAAATCAGGTCGAGTTCCACACCTACGCACTGCCATCTGAGAAAGAGCTGAAAGTTGCAATTAGAGAATTAGCAACCTCCAAGAAAGAGAATCTATTAATCGGTCTTGAGCCGTCGCAAAGATCACGTCAAAATAGTGATTTTTTAGATTCGCGTTGGAGCTTCTGTGGGCTCAACTAAAAGACCCGTAACTAAAAGAATAGTGATAAATAATCGAATTCGGAAAATGATTAGTCACTTCGCGTACATTGTACAAAAACAGTGAAAAGAAGTGTAACCAACAGGCAGTGGGTTCGTATTTAGAACTTTGGATCAATTATGAAAGTACTAAGGAACTTTTCCCGACGGCGAATATGACGGGGAGAATTTTCCTGTGGGCGAATATTCCGCAGGTGAAATTAACTCCTCAAATCTTTACGAACATTCCATGTTTACGGATTATTGCATCCTCGCATCTAAAGAGCAGTAGAATGCGGAAGAATGCACCCGAATCGAGGAAATCTCTCGAGAAATTCAAACTTTCCGTCGAACTAAAAGAGAACACATCGCAGTGCACGTATTGTCAGTTACCAGAACAGATACAAGAAATCTGCCGAAAGCAAAAACGAGGCGAAGCTAACACCACCATTCAGGCGGCAACCGTTGCCTGCCGTCAAATCCGACCACACGGAACCCATTTATGCCTACTTAAGGCGAATCTGGAGTAATCCGTAGTTAGTGCCACAAAAGCAATCCTTCGTCTTCAACCACCGCCGTGACAGATGTGCGAATGTTCCTCGCAAGCCCCGTGTTCATTATGTGCTATGCTCCTGGGAAAGCCAAAGTGGTCACACCAGACCGCCGAACGAGCTAAAGAAAATAAATTGATAGTTTCGAGCATTCCGGAAAGTCCCCCGTCGACTTCTCCCAGGACATATTATCGCCGAAATAGACAGGTGTGACTTTTTTCGGTGACGCAATAATTTGGTACCTAATGTACCGTTTCGGTAGGACATAAAACATACGCAAACATTTACAAAAAAAAGTAAAAATTATGTAATCATTGTGAACACATACGTTGGTTTACTACCTACTATTCAACATTATGAATTATGTATGTATCTGTTATGTTTTTGTTACGCTTATGTCCATTGTGAACAAGCACTAAGTTTTGTGTGTGTGTTTGGCAATTTTGCCGTTATCGAAACTTTTTGAAAAAACAGTCAGAAGAAAGTTAGAAAATGTTTAGAGAGTCGTTGTGATAAAAGTGAATGTTTAAGTCGGATTAAAGAAGTGAAGTTTACAAAGGAGTTAGTTGGAACGTTGTTTTTATGGAGCGCTTATGTGAAGTCTTTCTTAGTACCAGTTAAAGGGAGTTTTTCCACCATCAAAGAGCCAATTTTACATCTGTAATTAGAGAAAACGATAGTGAGCATATAGTTTGTCATGAATCATAACGTATCTACCATCTAACGCTACGAACTTTCCGTGAGGCAAACTCATAAAATCAATTTCGACGGTAAGGTAAGGTTCTGCTCCTATGGTGGAATTACTTGGGTAAGGAGCTGCCGCCTTTCAAAAAGTACCGCTCGGAGCAGTCCCCCCCCCCCCCCACCCCTTCGCTACTGCACGTTAGGGGTAACCTGTTTAAAAAACAATGCCTGTGCTATATTCAAACAAGTCAATGCATTGATATGCCTGACAGTTACGCAACCCACCTTACATACAGGTTTAACAGCATTGTTAACTACGAGCATTGAATAATAAATTCATTATTCAATGCTACGAGTAACAAAAGAAACTTGGTAGTTATTTCATTCGGTCAATTTGTTTAGCTAATATTAACTGTGTAATTGTCTTTGAAGTGGTTTAATAGTGTTTTTTCAATTACTTTTTTACATTTTACTCATTTGGTGTGATTGGTAGAACTCAATACAGACATGTGTAAAATTTCAAACTCTATTATAGCTAAATTACCAACAGTGTTATATATTATATTTCTACAATTAAAACATGGCAAGTTCTTTTTCTGGTGCAATATGCATTAACAATATAAGATTGGTTGCATATCTTAAGGGGTACTTGACTTGTGTATTTAAAAATTAAACATAGGAGATTGGTATGTTCAGAGTTAAAATTTGCGCCCTGCAGGAGCACTTATATACCAGTAATGTGGAAATAAAAATATTCTACAAGGCCATTAAAAAAAAGGGCACCTGAACAATTTTACAGAATAAACAAGGTGTTTCAAATGAAAAAAATAAAGGATTAATTTAAATTACATTAAAAAACATTCAATCTTCATATGGCAAGTGAAAATGTTGAGAACAATAGACCTACGCCCCAACAGTTACTGTAACACAATTAATTAAATATTTTTCTTACAGTTACAAAAGCCGTGCTAATTATAAGAGTGGCCAGCTTAGGAGCGAAGATGTGGTATCAAAACAAATTGCAACAAGATACATTAAAGAAGAACAACTAACACTAATCCGAAGATGCTTTTATACCAAATTTATTACAGTAATATTACAAATATTCAGATAATAAAAAAATAAATAACACCACTTTTAAATTTAATCGATATTTGCACTTTTGCAAAACTAGAACGTAATGCAGCTCTTTCAAATCTTGGTGTAGTAATACATAACAACTCTATTAACACAAATTCACGTAAGAACAATTAAACGATACTAGGGACTAATTTTCTTTGATGGATTTTCCTCCTCTTTTACATCGTCGTCTTTTCGTTTGCGTTTTACTAGATGGCTAATATTGGAAATTTTCTTATCGGATGATCCAGCTTCAAATGACGATTTAGTTTCTGCCACAGGTTTTGATGCCATAGCTGCTACTAGTTTCATTGTGGCCTAAAATTAATAGTTGTTACCTGTGTTTATTTGTAGTGAAGGTGAACATGCAAACACCTTTAAAAGAGTGTGATTTTGTAAGACAAAGCTATTTTACATTAAATGTTGCTTCGGAAGGTCATTTAGAATAAGCAGGTAAAAATTAGGTAAATTGTATAAAAGGAGAAACACAAGCATAGGTCTAATAAATAATAAAACCAGAAAGATTTGAAGCAGGTAAAATATGGATGAGCAAAGCACTTCGGCAAAAATCGTTGGTACAGCACAAGGTTGGTATATTACAGGTTGCCTCGTAACTGCAATAATGGGGATCAAGTCGTCTGCTCGTGACGTCACTGGTAGCCACTCAAATTTCGTTATCTTGTCATTACCGCTTATGTGACATACGCGTAAGGTTATAAATATTGAACCTCCTATACCTGTGCATTTAGAACCTAGAAATATTATTAAAAGGGTCGTGGAATTCTTTGACAAACAGAAAGCTGCCAGTATGTGGGCATTTCCTTTGGAAAAGGCTACAGAGCTAGCTGCTGCTGTGACGGCAAATCAATAAAACTCATAACTAAATTAGGTAATGTTAATTTCAATTTCAATTATTGATGGAACGTAGCAACATTGTTGATTGGCGGTCACGATATTTACGGAGAATGAAAGAAAATGATGCTTTAGGGAAAAATAAGACATCCGGTCAAATTTTTTGACGGAACCTACATCTTATTTAGTGCTTGCGGGCCGGCAGAAGATGAACGTGTTTAAAACTGACCGAAGCAGGAGGATCATATGGTCTCGTTGATACCGCCTATCTCATCTACAAATCGAAGACTTAAGTGTAGAGACGATATAAACTGTGACTATGCAATTGATTGTTAGATGAAGCTGTTTATCTTTCACGGTAAACACTGGTACATCAGACGAAGATTGACTGTATTATATAACGATTTATAATTACTAAATTTTAAAATATAAAATGAATATTTGTGTTTCACTAGTTAAACGATTCAAACATCATCAAAGAACTGTAAACAATAGCTACGCATCAAATTTTCCAGCTGTATGGCTGCATGCATTTATTATTTCGTTTAAATCGTGGGATACCAGTGACGTATTCGCGCCTCGATTGCTATTGGTCGATAGTTACGAGGCAACCTGTAATATACCAACCTTGGGTACAGCATACCACATAGTTGCTTACTTGATTTTGGTCGGCGGCAAATTGTTTCACATCCCAGTAGCAAATAAGTAGAAAATGTACACATATACCGCTTCATAGCGAACGTGAACAAAAGTATGTCTGGAATAAAAGCTGTGCATTTTCGAAATAAGAAAGCTAGTGAGATCGAGTTGTAAAGTTGTAGCGCTCTTATCCTTCTTTTATTAGTGTTCTCAGTCTCACTTTCATACATAAAAAGCTCCATATACATAAATACTCATATCAAAATAATCCTTATAACCTTTTAATTATTTATTCTACCTGAATCACGATCTCGGTTTTGAACACTTGACCAAGTGCTTTAAAGGTTGCTAGTAATGTTACTTCAAATAGACTTATGAAACTGTCATCTGGGGTTGAAATAAAAATTTTCTTAGGTCACTTGTACTTCCCTTGACTTATCCTTTGTGTGAAGCTTTCACAAAACGCGTGTAATTAGGGTATGTTACCACATCTGTTCCATTTCTTAACCGCAGCATTGATTGAAGTTTTGAATTAATTACTTTGACATTTCCTTCATATATGTCAGGATTAACGATGCATTTAAGACCTTGTGTGAAAGATGCTTCCTATTCTGACCTATTTTCTTAGTTGAAAAATCTACCGTTTCCAATGTAAGTATATGGAATCAGGTAAAGTAGTTATCGGACTTAACCTCATTTTTGTAAATGGAACATCCTATATATTTTAATCTTAAAGATAGCATATTAAATTCTCCTTTCAAAAATATAACAAAGATAAATTCAAGAACTTTGCATATTGATTCAAAAAAGATTTCTAAAAAATCAAAAAATTCTTTTTTAATTTTTTTTGTAATTTTGTTGAATCACTTTTTTTGTTTTTTTATTCTGTTTGAATATTTCTGAATCATTTTTATATAATCCCTCTCTTTTCATTCCAAGTGATTTAAAAAATTTCAAAGATTAAATAAACAAAATTTTAAAAACTTTTAAAAAAAGGTTTAAATTGTTCAAAATGTATTTAATTAAATTTGACTCTCCCCCACTTCTTGCCTTATATTTATACACACATATACTCGAGCAACTCGTTTCACAACACAACGAAGGCCCTATCACTAGACAGGTTTATTACTTGACAATCATGTGCCATGAGTTTGAGTTAGTTTTGGCGGGAGATTTTTGGTTTTGAGTTGGACCTGGGTTACTACAGAATCTTGGTGCCGTGACCAGGATTTGAACGTCCATTACAGTATACAGGATCTTCCATTTAAAAAATGAATAACCAATAACTTTATTACCTAACCCCTAACAACTTTTTTTATTTTTCCTCCGCTATCTCTTAAAGCAAACGAATATTTTGAAATTTTGATTTCACCCAAAAAACACACATACCCCCCACATTACTTTTTGAGAGCATTAAGTCAAGATTGTATTGTTTCGTAAGCGTTTTTTTCCTTTTGTTTTTTTTGACATAAACAATGATATACTGTAGAAGCGGTTGTTAAATTACCCACGCAGGTAGATACCAGAAAACTTTACCCAACTATAAATGGCATAATTTCAATTTGATACTATAGTCCCTATTCAGATTGCATTATATCTAGATTGGGAAAATTACTTTATACAATGACAAATAAGAAAACTTAATTCCGGTAAATTGTTTCAATATAATAAACATGAATTTACTTCATTTGTTTAACTCGTCTTAAATGTTTTCCATCCCCTCGATCGCATAGTTCAAATTGCTGGGACGAACGAAACTGGGATTGCCCATCGCGAGATTTAGATGACCGGGATAATCGGAGCTGGGAAGTAAATGGTCGCCGGGATGGCTTGTCGCCGGAATGACGGTGGCCGGTGTAGCAATGCTGTCACTCTTGGTCACCATAGTGAGAATGCACATTAGCGTTGCGACATTTTGAAGCGCGACATCGCGTCGCCGATCTGAATACAGGGCAAGTGGGAATTGACCTTTAGTGAGTGTTTGTTTTGTGTATGTCGCGAACGTCGCTGGATATCACTTATCATTCAGCCAAAACCAGCACTGGTGTAGCGATTCTGTCGCTGTTCGCCGCCATAGTGGGAATGCACACTAGAAATTCGACATTTGCAGCGCGGCATCACGTAGCGTCGCCCAGTTGAATGTAGCGCAAGAAAGAATCGTTCCGTAAAATACGAATCGACCTAATCTTATACAACTGAAAATGTTTGACTACATTCTGTCACTTGATTTGATTATATAACTGTGTAAAAGCACAATTTAGGAGAGGAGGTAGAGACTTTTAGTTTCAATAAAAATGACCTATCAGGGTAGGGAATCTTAATTTTAAAATTGTCGCCTCCCATACCTTAGAGGACCTTCAGTTCATTGCATTTTAATGAATACAATGGATTAAAACTGCGCACAATTTTCCGATAAAAATATCACTAAAATGCTATGGCTACAATCTAGGAATATCCCAGGAATATCCTGTCACGTGTTTTCTAACACTATTTCTATGTCTAATATTTACAGACCAGTGTGGTTTTACTTTCTGCAATATTTTTACACAATTTTTACGCAATAGTAAACAGCGTAAGCGTAGGAAAAAGTTAGCAGCATGCATAAGCAGATAGGAAAAAAAGGTTGGAGTAGTGCTTCGAAAATCATGCGATTACTCGATTATCTTTCATTATTCGCAATTAGCATCATACAAGCACGAGCAACTAAACTACAAACGACATTAGATTTGGACCTTCTCCAAAGCACCGCTAATAACATCCTTGCAATCGCATTGCGCATCACGTACCTCCTCTTTGAAGTTTTTCATGTCGGAAATTTTCTCGAGAATATCGGGGATCAGGTCTTCGATGTCCTTTATCTCGTCCTTCTGCTTTTCTTCGTCCTGTTTCAGCTTGGCCAGGCGCTTATTTAATACTTCCAAGGATGTCGTGTAACTCTGGATTGCTTCCTCGATTTGGTTATTGGTCGAGAGTGCCGTTCCCAGTTTGTAATAGGTCTCGGCTAGAGTTCTATCGTTCGGTTTACAAATTTCCTTTTGGATTTCTAAGCCGGCTTTCATGTCGGCCACGGCGCTTTCGAAGTTTTCGCTCTCCAAAGAGACTTCGCCCAGAACTATTAAGGTTTCCGACAGGCCTCGGCGACCGGCGGCGTCGCGCTGTTCGAATATCAACTTGGCGATTTCCAGGACTTCCCATGCCAGCTGTAAGTCGGTCGGCTCCTCGTCGTTAGAGCCGTTTGTGGGTTCGCCGTCGCCATCGTCGCCCTTCACCTCCTCTTTGTTCTCCTCGCTCGTCTTTTCATCGGGCTTCTCGTCATTTTCGGCTGGCGGCTTTTCAACTTCTTCAACTTTGTCTTGCGCACCATTGGCCTCCTCGGCGTCGGACTCGGAACTATATTCACGTTGAACTGCATCTCCCAAAGGTTCGGCTTCATCTCGCGATATTTCCAGCAGGGTTTTCCCGTAGGCGAGATAAATTTCGCCTAGCGAATCGTGTTTGTCGCCATGCTCGGCCACTATTATTTCAATCGCTTTACTGTAGGCGGTCGCAGCCGCATTGTAATCGTGGATGTGTTCCGCTTTCGTAGCTAACTTTACCAATTCTTTAGGATCCTTAATTTCGGATTCGACCGCCACATCTGCCATCTGCAAAAAAAATTCGACATAACTAAACAATTCAGTTTCACAGGTTACGAAAGGACAATGGGGAAGGGACATGCGTCGCGACACCATATCGACGCCGGCCGGGTAGAAAGTACGCAACGCGTTAAATCAGTAGTCGTGACGCTGCAGTTGGGGGATGAATTAACGTTGGCGATGACTCGAGAATGAAAAAAACACGAAACGTGCTCACGGAAATTTGGCAAAGAATAGTCTACCGAGCTTTGCATTGATAATAATGTAGCGAAATTAGTATTAACCGTTGAGTCAATTAAATCTCGTTGTGCCTGTGCTTTATAGTTGCTATTTTGTAGTGCCTAAGTTTTAACGCAAGTGCCGGTTTTTCGTGCTTTTCAAAAATTGGCGCATTAACCTAAGGTAAGAATGATGTAATGCGATGTCGGCTTTTGAAACGAAATTGCGTACAGAATACGTAATTGAGAAGGACTGTCCAAGTTTCCGCTCGTTTCGTGTATAGAACAAAGTGGTCATCGCATTCATAGAATCGTAATTGAATTCGGGACAAACACTTAAAGCCCCAGGGTGGCGTTATTAACATGAAATGGCCGTAAACAACAGCCCTTCGTTATTATTCCCACAAGTAGCAATCGCATTTATATTAAGCACCCTCTAAAGATCTTGAGCTTTATGGTAAACTTAATTGCGGGATGAAAATTTTAAACGACGAAATCCAGAGAATTTCATAATGGAAATTCCGTAGTAGCTTTGGAGCGTGACCTTTGACACGTGTAATGGATTATTATTTATTATCCATTAGAGATGGGAAAACTTAAGACCTGATAGTCCCGATAGAACTTTTAAGAAAAAGTAAAACTGGGCTCCCCTCGATGTGTTTCAACCCACACTGTAGGGCTAATTTTCGGATGAATAATTGAGCATCGATATTCAACAAAATATCATCTGTAAAATGAAACACCCTGTATATTTTTACATACTTTCGAAGAAGTTATATTAGTTATATTTCTTCCAAACGTCCCAATCGCCCTTTGTAGGTACTTTCCTTTGACAATTGACTCTTAAGATATAAGGAATTATAACCGATCACGACAAGGGATCGAGGAGGAAGACTATGGTTAGTATAAATTAATTCCTTTCGTTGATACCTTTCATTAGAGTACCATGAAGAATAAAACTAGTTCCAGTCCCTCGCCCCCCTTCGCCCTCTACTTCGTACTTTGATAAGAGGACAAAAAGAAGGGCAGACGTTTGTAGAAAACTGTTCTTTTCGTTGAGACCTTTAATTAGAATACAATGAGATAAAATTAATTTTTAAACCCTCTCCCCACCCCCCACCGCCCTCAGGCCCCGTCGCTCACTAATCTCGAAAAAGAGTCGCAAGGGAAAGTTATAGTTTGTACAAACCAATTCATTTCGATGAGACCTTTCATTAGAATACCATGGAGGGTAGAACATGTGTATACCCCCCCCCCCCCTTTTCTAAAGTTTAACTTGGCACCACTAAAGGCATGCGTATGCAAAATCTGAGACCAATTGGTTGTCGTATGTAAGTTATACACGTTTTACTTTCCAAAACAGCATCTCAGGAAATAATTCGTGGGGGGGGGGGCGTTTAGACAGCGAAATTTGATGACCGTCTGGCACACCTTTAAGGTATAGGCTACCTACTGCAAAAAATTCCAGGACTCTATGACCATTCCCCTAGAAGTAGTTCAAAACGGTAGAAGTGGGTCCGGACGGACGGACGGACAAAACACAAACAATAGCACATTTTATTTAATTCCAAAAAATGCGCTAATTAGGGTGAAATTTTTCCCTTCTCGGAGCAGTGGCGCAGTTGGAAGTTGGAAAAAGCATTGGAAGCGGAATTATTGTTTGACAGCAGAGTCATCCTTTAGATCCACGTTCCATTATCATTGATCAATTTACAAAGTACCATCTCTACATTAAGGGCCTTACAAAGCTTGTATTATAGGAAAATCATCGTTCTCAAAGAATTTGAGGTAATGTAAACATTGTCTTGATTTGTATAAAAAATATGATTCGTTCTCTTCAAAAGAATGGTGTAATAGTTTTTTGTATAACTACTTTTTTGATAGTGATACTTTTTTCATAAATTTGCAGCAAATAAATGAAAAAACGAAACTTTCAAAACACGTTGTACATACACAACATTTTCATGCATACTGATCCTTAAGAACCTATAATTGAAGAATATTACTGACATTCTCAATTTACTGTCACTCAAAAATGGACGTGAAACTTATTACCTCGCTTATTACTTATCGCGTCAGCCAGGAAATCCATTTTTAACACGATTAAAACCCTCAATACATACAACCCTAGTCTATACATCGTATTCAAAAAAACATTTGCGAAAACAGCCTTAGAACAATCAAATCTTCGAACCCACGCTAGAAATTCATGTTGGATTCTTTGAAATCTTCCTAGTATCTAGAAATTTTCCCAAGAATTTTCCTAGAGACCTACGAAAATCTTCATGCAAAACAAAGCATTCATACCGTTTAATTTTTGCTTTTACATTAAGTTTATCGCACCGTATCTATAGCTTTTGCTTTTTCTTACAGAGTAATTTCTACCGTGCAAGGTAAGTTTTTTGATACTCTCAGTTTCATTAATTGTAAGTCAAATTAATTCACGTTAATTCAGGCAATCATTCGCGTACATTCAAATTAATTCACGTTAATTCAAATAGATTCATATTCATGTAAATTCAAATTAATTCACCTTAAATATAATGAATTCACGCTAATTCAAATGAATTCTTGTTAATTCAAAATAATTCATGTAAATTAATGTTAATTAACGTTAATTCAAGGTAATTCACGTCAATTAAGATTAATGCACTTTAATTCAAATTAATTCACGGTAATTCGCGTACATTCAGATTAATTCACGCTAATTCCAATTAATTCACGTTAATTCAAATTCACGTAAATTCAAATGAATTCACATTAAATCAAATTAATTCACGCGAATTCAAATTAACTCACGCTAATTCACTTTAATTCAAATTCAGTAAAATTAAATTCATTCATGTTAATTCAAATGAATTCACGTTAAATCAAAATAATTTACGTAAATGAATGTTAATTCACGTTAATTCAAAGTAATTCACGTAAAATTAAAAGAAATATAGAAATAGTATGTAAATAGTACTTACCAAATAGCTAATGGCCACAGTAGCCGACGCTATATAAAAAAAATATCACCTTAAATAAAATGAATTCACGCTAATTCAAATGAATTCTTGTTAATTCAAAATAATTTACGTAAATTAATGTTAATTAACGTTAATTCAAGGTAATTGGCGTACATTCAAATTAATTCTCGCTAATTGAAATTAATTCACGTTAATTAAAATTCACGTAAATTCAAATGAATTCACATTAAATCAAATTAATTCACGCGAATTCAAATTAACTCACGCTAATTGAAATTAATTCACTTTAATTCAAATTCAGTAAATTTAAATTCATTCTTGTTAATTCAAATGAATTCGTGTTAAATCAAAATAATTTACGTAAATGAATGTTAATTCACGTTAATTCAAGGTAATTCACGTAAGATTAAAAGAAATATAGAAATAGTATGTAAATAGTATGTAATACTTACCAAATAGCTAATGGCCACAGTAGCCGACGCTATATAAAAAAAATCACCTTAAATAAAATGAATTCACGCTAATTCAAATGAATTCTTGTTAATTCAAAATAATTCACTTAAATTAATGTTAATTAACGTTAAATCAAGGTAATTGGCGTACATTCAAATTAATTCACGCTAATTCAAATTAATTCACGTTAATTAAAATTCACGTAAATTCAAATGAATTCACATTAAATCAAATTAATTCACGCGAATTCAAATTAACTCACGCTAATTGAAATTAATTCACTTTAATTCAAATTCAGTAAATTTAAATTCATTCATGTTAATTCAAATGAATTCACGTTAAATCAAAATAATTTACGTAAATGAATGTTAATTCACGTAAATTCAAATTAATTCACTTTAAATCAAATGAATTCGCGTTAACTCAAATAAATTCACGTTAATTCAAAATAATTCACGCAAATTAATGTTAATTCACGTTAATTCAAATTAATTCATTTTCATTCAAATTAATTCACGTAAATTCAAATTAATTCACGTTAATTCAAGGTAATTCACGTAAATTCAAATTAAGTTCTTGACGAGAAGCGTGCAATGGAAACATTAATGAAATATCTAAAAATAACGGGACTAATAAAAAGAATCTAAAGGCAAATAGTTACAGTAATTAGTTAAGAAATAAAGGCAAATGACCATAGCAGTCAAGCCTTAACGAAAAAAAATTCACGCTAATCCAACTTAATTCACTTTAATTCTCGTTAATTCAAATTCACGTAAATTCAAATTAATTAACGTTAATTCACATAAATTCTAATTAATTTAATTAATTCTAATTAATTCACGTTAATTCAAATGAATTCAGAGGGGTGTACACCAAAAATTCAAAGTTGTTTCCCCCTAGCTACAATTATTGTTTATATGCTTCTCAATTTCTCCATATAAGTGTCTGGTTTGCTATGTTTTCTTTGCTATGATTTTAGCTTAAAGTGCACGTAATATCTGACCTAGCGCGATATAATTTACTTAATATGCGACTTTTCACGAATAAATTCGATGTATGCGAATTATACAAGTGCTTAGGAGCGTACGCACCTTAGCTTGGAACCTCTGGAAAGAAAAACGCAGGTATTGTCTTGAAAACTCGAGGTTGTAAGAGAAGGTTTACTGTACTGTAGCGAATATTCCAGAAATTCCGATAGACATCGAATCCCCATGAAAGATTAGCCAACGGCGATAAAGAACTAAGACGGATGTGACGCAATCTTTCCGGGAAACATGGCGTGTTTTGTTCTAGAACATTCGGCAGCACTCCAGAACACCCGAGTTTGCTATATATAGAAATCGAATTGCGTTTCAGGACAGTTTCAATTTCGACGCCGAAGTAATAAATAGTTCGCGCTGTTAGAAATTCTGCATATGTGAGTGATAAATAACGTTTTAACTGTTAATTAATTCACTTCAAGACTTATTACATATTGTAAATAAATAAATTATGCAATTAAATTTACGTTACAATACATTTTCGCTTATAACACAGAAATACGGTCGGCCAAAGTTGACACTATAGCTACTTTCATCTTACGAAACAATGGACTAACTTTCAAAACCATTTCACCTCCTGTTTCCCATTAATGAATGAGTAATAAAAGCGCTAAAACGCAGAATGTAAAGCGTTAATGGCTAATTATTCCCCTTTCGTTCCTGAAAGATCAGATAATCATTTCCGTTTAGTGTAATAGCAACAGGTAACATCTTCTAATTATAACCAAATAACACGGAATTTCGTATAACACTAACCTTTATAAAGCAGACGTATAAAAATTGGATGGGGTGGGTAATCAAAAATAAAACGACCTCGAATGTTAGGCTAATTTATAAGTGCCGCAGGCTAATAATAAAAGGGTGCCAGTCAATAATATAATTATTTACATGTAAGGGTGTATATATAGTTCGATTTGTCCTGGAAACCTGAATCTTCCAACCTTCACCTGAATAAATATATTGTTGCATCGGCAAGCTATGGGGGGGGGGGACTTCGGTTGACACGGTAAGAATTTGATTTGATTTGTTTTGTATCGAAATTTTAATAATTAATTTGTAATCGCACTCATGTTTTCCTTTTATCGTGCACGCACATTTAACAACCTTCGTTTCAATGTGTTTCCAATACTTATTACTCTTATTGGAATTTGACAATTTTTGTATTTCTCTTCTTGGACCTTTCGATTCTTAGACAATTTCGCATTCTCAAAAGTACAGGATTGTCATAAAAGTTATTTCTAGGTCATTGTCACTCTTTAAATAGACCGATAATAAGATAAACATTCGAAAGAAACTGCGTGAAAAGTTTCTCAAAGAGACTGCTCCAGAAATATTCCTAAGAATCATTTGAGAGACTTCTCAGATTTATAAGGCCTCCTAAGAGAAGATTTCTCCTAAACTTTTTCTCTTTTTCTAGAGTGTCTTGTAAGGAAGTTGTAAATAACATTTTTGGAAGATAATCTAAATAGGTTTTCAAAAAGCTTTCTAGAACGATTCCTAATACCCGTAATAAGAGTTGTCGAAAAAACTTTTCAAAGGGTTTGTAAGAGAATATAAAAGTGATAACGTAGAAATATTATTTAGAAACATCCTGTAGTATGTGTTATAAAATTCCTCCGTTAGATGTCGCCGTTGTCCCCATCCTTTCAATTTAAATCCTTTATCATTTCTCCACTTCTTTTGTGGTTCTCCTTATGAAAGTGTGATTGTCAAGATTTCCAGGGAGATTTTTCCTGTACCTCCTACCCACCAGAAACCAGAACCATACTCCATACCCCGATTCGAAAACCAGTAGTCCTTTTAATTTATTTTCCGTTTTGATTTCATTTCACCGAGAGTTTTGCTTTTTAGTTTTATTATTATTTCCCAGACCTGTTAATTTGCTAATCAGTTTTATTTTGCCGTTTTACTCACCTGTAATTCTAGCACTCAAGCTTCGATTTAGACGACACTGATTTCGTTGCAATTACCATTATAGTATTGGCTCTTTGATGGTGGAAAATACTCCTATTAACAGGTATGCACAACAACAGTCCGAATCAACTTCTTCGTAAACGGTAAAACACTTCTTATGTACGACCGGAGAAAAACATGAGATAAACCTTTATCCTTATTTAACCAACGCAACATAACCTTATAATAAAATCAACAAATTAAACAATTCTGATATAGCGTTGTCCTCGAATTCAACCAACATGATCGGATTTAAGTTTCCTCTGAGAACTACCGACCACGCTTAAGACAGCGACATTTTATGGCCGTCAAGGTAGGCTAAAGGCATAGACGTATTTGGTCTATGGTATAGGCTACTTATTGGAAAAAATTGCAGGACTTTACGACGTTTTCCCTAAAAGTAGTAGAAGTGGATCGTGACGGAGGGACGGACAAAACGCAAATACCACATTTTTTATTTCTTAAAAAATGCGCGAAAAATAGATTCAAGTTAAAACAACCCTAATTCGTGGTCACGTTCTTTTCTAACTACCCTTATTTCAATTTCAACAACAGTAAAAATAGATGATCATTTTTAGACAAAAATACACCTTATGGCTAACACAGTTGAACCCATTATTTTTTGGGAACGATTTTCGTATAATGCAAACTGCATACGGCCCTTCATGTAGAGAGGGTACTTTCTACATTGATCAATGATAATAGAACGTGCATCTAAAGGATGACTCTGTCGTAGCCTTCAGGATTCTCTTGGAAATTGACGCGCCTGACGTGATTTCAAGGGTATTGAACTATGTTTATTATCTGCTGATGAATTACCACATTTTTCCAACTGCCTTAAATTGTTCCGAACACTAACTTCCGAAAAAGAAAAATTGTCACTAATTAAAACTGTCATCCTAATTTTTTGCGCATTTTTTAAGAATTAAAAAGAATGTGCTATTGTTTGCGTTTTGTCCGTCCGTCCGTCCCACTTCTACTGTTTTGAACCACTTCTAGGAGAATGGTCCTAGAGTCCTGGAATTTTTTGCAGTAGGTAGCCTATACCTTGAAGGTGTGCCAGACGGCCATCAAATTTCGCTGTCTAAAAGGCCCCCCCTCCCCCACGAATTATTTCCTGAGATGCTGTTTTTGAAAGTAAAACGTGCATAACTTTTACATACAACCAATTGGTCTCAGATTTTGCATACGCATACCTTTAGTGGTGCCAAGTTAAACTTTAGAAAATGGGGGGGGGGGGGGGTCTGTTCTATCCTTCATGGTATTCTGTTGAAAGGTCTCATCGAAATACATTGATTTGTACAAACTATAACTTTCCCGTGCGACTCTTTTTCGAGATCAGTGAGCGACGAGGCCGGGGGGGGGGGGGGGGGTTAACAATTAATTTTATCTCTTATTGTATTCTAATTAAAGGTCTCAACGAAAGGAACAGTTTTCTACAAACTACTGCCCTTTTTCTGTCTTTGCCCAATTTATTACTAGGTTTTGTTGCGCGGAATATCAACAAATTAATTGTCCTTAAAATCTTTACCGTATGCCGTTAAATGCAAAGGTTCCCGATGTGTAAAACCGCCACGCAAATAAATTGATTTTGAATTTTGCTTAATTATACTAATACGAACTTTGCATTAAGTTTAAATGATTTAAATGGTGCAACCGAGGGATTATAGAACGCACTTTAGTCCTGTGGTATATACGCTATTTATCGCATTTTTTAAGAATTAAAAAAAAATGTGCTATTGTTTGCGTTTTGTCCGTCCGTCCGTCCGGACCGACTTCTACCATTTTGAACTACTTCTAAGGGAATGGTCCTAGAGTCTTCGAATTTTTTGCAGTAGATAGCCTATACCTTGAAGGTGTGCTAGACGGCCATCAAATGTCGCTGTCTAAAAGCCCCCCCCCCTGCGAATTATTTCCTGAGAGAGAGACAACCAATTGGTCTCATATTTTGCATACGCATGTCTTTAGTGGTTCCAAGTTAAACTTTAGAAAATGGGGAGGACACATGTTCTACCCTTCATGGTATTCCAATGAAAGGTCTCATCAAAATAAATTGGTTTGTACAAACTATAACTTTCCCGTGCGACTCTTTTTCGAGATCAGTGAGCGACGTGACCTGAGGGGGGGGGGGGGTTCAAAATTAATGGTATCTCTCATTATATTCTAATTAAAGGTTTCAACGCAAGGAACAGTTTTCTACAAACAACTGCCCTGCTTTCTGTCCTCTTATCAAAGAACGGGGTAGAGAGGGAAGGAGGGGGGTGGGACTAGTTTTATCCTTCATGGTACTCTGATGAAAGGTCTCAACGAAAGGAATTCATTTATACTAACCATAGTCTTCCTCCTCGATCCCTTGTGATCGGTTATAATTCCTTATATCTTAAGAGTGAATTGTCAAAGGAAAGTACCTTCAAAGGGCGATTGGGACGTTTGGAAGAAATATAACCATCGGGCATTTAAATAAAATTTGATACATAGCCACTTGGAATAAAACCAAATTTAACGCCAGTTTCAATATTTCGTTTTGCGCATGCCCAGTGCCAACTTTCTTATTTATGGAAGAAATTTCGTAAGGGTGTTTAGAAAAAATGCGCTTTACCTGCACAAGGGTTGTGCGCAATTTGTACTTGTTTATTGATATGGTGAAAAAACGCTCCCTCATATTTTTTCCATAAGTTCTAAATAAGACGTTCGACCCCATCTGGTTTGTTCGCGGAGAAATTTATCTACACTTAACGTTCACAATAATCGAACTTAGTTTCACGTTGAAGAATAAAATGGCCGAAAAAAATTTAAATTCCGTGATCCTCATTAGGGTTGAGCTCTTCTACAGCTCCAAACCGAATGCCTTACGCTTAGTGATCGATAAAAATACTATTATCTTGGACCACGCACTTCGCTATCTGGTGGCCCAACACCAAATGCCCAAAAATCTCCTTTCCCTCTCATGGTTATAATCTATCCAAACGCCCACAAGATGGTGATAAACCATTCTTAATCACAAATTAATCTGATTCGTTTAGATCAACCAATTACGCGTACGCTAGGGCCAGTCAAAATCTCACGACCGTTGAAATTTACAAATCTGCGGTTAGAGACTACTAATTACAATTTCATTGAAAACCCCACTTGAAGCAGGAAAGCGCACCGCTGAAGGGCTTAAAGAACTCATCCCCAAACGGCACATGCGATTTTAGCACTGGCGTCCAAGGAATTGGAAAAGTCACCCCTTATTCAAGAAATATTTGTTTCGGTTTAAACATTACAGCAGTTAAGTTTATTTTGTAGCCTGTGCATTTACACAACCTAAAAATGCTCCCCTTACAAACAGTTCCAACGAGATAACACTTTTAAGGGAAGATTTAATAACCCACTAAAGGAGAAAACACGATTAAGTTACGCTAACGTTCTTCTCAACCCCCGAAATAAATCCCTGTGACCTAAATTGCGAAATACAACATTGCGGTATGGATAAACGTGGAAAGCCGTTATCATTGACTGTCACTTTTTTTTTGTTACAGAAATCGACGAGCGGATAATGATGGCTGCTACGTGCCAGAGTGAAATGACGACGAGAGCCACATGGGGCTCCGGTGCCGAGATATTATCGCAATCGGTGAAGTAGTTTCAGTTATGCTCGGGGTAAAATCGCAAGGCGGCCCGAATACACGAAACTTTTCGAGTGGTTAAAAAGATCGGCAAACTGAAGCGCGATCAAGAATACGATCTCCTGATCGTCGACAACGACGGATTAATGGAGACCGCCAATAGTGAGGGTGGAACCGAAGATGAATCGGGATGGAATTGCAGCGTGCATCCGAGCGTTTTCTTTCTGTTGGGCACGCTTGTGCTTACGACGTGCGCGACCGCGATGCTGTGCGGTTCCATTATGACCGACCACTGGGAGGAGGTCACGTGGAATAGGGAGGAACTTGAAGCTCTCAATAATTACACAATGCATATGCAATGGTACTTGGATGGTAAGGTGGCGAAGCTGTTGACCAACGACGAGCGAGAAATGACCGTCGCTTTTTTAGTTCCTATGCATGGGGGGATATGGACTTTGTGTCTTAGTTTAACAGGTATGTCAGATTACAATGGCACTTCTCAAATCTTACTTGCTTTAAAACACACTACCAGACTAATATTGGAAAGAGAGACCCTGAGTTATTTTTCTAGCTGAAACTCACTTCGGAAAATACAAAATCCTAATTGCTTACCATTTCGGTTAAATAACCTCCATAAAACCTCTGATAATGAATTAATTGTGCGTATTCAACAACAAAATTTTGCGAACACAAACAACATTTTCTACATTTCATTTCAATTTTGACACGTTGTTTTCGATAATTTATATGACGTCGTTGATCATGGTCACTATACTGATGTGTATAGAGGAGCAGCCCGAAATTATTGTAACTTAGCTTTCTTCCTGTAGTATTACTTACCTCGTATGGTGCTAATTTGTTTATGAAAAATAGGAAGCAATAAAGGAAAAAGCTTACTGTTCCTGAATCAGACATTAAATTAATTCCAAAGAATAAATTGCAACACTTTTAAAATTAGAAGTAAGCAATAGGATAAACTTAGGATTCAATGATACATTTCCGTTTATGTGATCCTCATTAGAAACGTTACCTGCAAATATATTAACATTTACCACCTTCCGTTTCCGTCATCCTGATAAAAGAATTTCTTTATGAAAAATGTACATCGTGAAGATATAGTAAGTTATAAGGTACCTGGCAATGAAGTGGTTCTGTGATCCTGATACAAGAATTTTCCATTCCTGTTATTCTGATCTAACATGAAAAATTTGTATTAGGAGAACAAAAATAGTTTAAGGAGAAACTTGTATGAGGGCAGTATATAAATAAAAAGCGTGGGAATAAATGTTATCTTTTTTGCTTTTTGCTGTGATCCTGCTCCACCAATCTTTAATTTGAATGTATCAGGCGTATGCAGAGTGTTCCTAAACATTATGTACATACCGAGGTACATACAGAAGGGGATATAATTCTTCGACTTATTTAATGTTCATATAAACACGGGTCCGCAAACCGTTCGTTACCGATCTACAGATTTACCGTTTCGCAATTTTTTAAGTCTTTAATTGTAGTAAGAATGTACAGGGTGATGTTTTTTTTTCAGGGATCAAGTTCCATTTATTACCCCTGAACTTTTTTCGGCGCGCCGCTGGTCAATTGTAAAATAAGAAACTGATTTTTTTAGAAACTTTTTCGTCTCGTATTTTTTTAGTATCTGCGACAGTTATCGAGAAAAAAATAAAAATCAATTTTCTGTAATTGGCTAAATGAAACTAAAATTTGTAAAATAGTTCAGTAGATTGACGTTATTTGAAGTCACTTGTTTTTATAGTTTTTAACAGTTCGAATTTGAAAATTGTATCTTGTATTTTCAGGAGATATAAAAAAACTTAAAAAATCGGGAAACACCCTGTGGATCGATAAGGACGCGTTTGCGGACCTCTGTATATATGAATCGTAATATACGTCAAAGAATTAAATTATTACAGAACTTGTCAACACTTGAAATAAATCTTAGCGCGAATAGAAAAACAAATCTGCGATGAAAACTCTAACTGGATCGCACTTTGGATTCGAATAAACACACAATTAATTTATTGACAATGACAAACATTTATTCCGAACAACAATGCGCCAAAATTAAAGAAAACTCCTGAAAGAAAGAAAAGCTTACAATGATTGAACCTCGGATTGAACATATTACCCCGCACGCAGGCGGGCAAAAAATAAAATAAGAAATTTTTAATAATCCAAATAAGCTGGCCGTGCAAGGTTTGCGAGGCGCACTACACTCACACAAACGCTGACAACTTGATTTTGGTTTATAACAGAATTAGGTGAGAAACTGGCTTGATGAATATGAACATATGTACAGTGGCTGTTAGGACGGTGGAAACTTTTAATAAGAGAACCTTAACAAAAAACCTCGCTGTACTACACTGCTTCCTTTTTCAACTCGAAACTTTGGTGAGCTTGCTCCTGCACAGATTTATTATGAAAAATTACGAACTGCGTCTTAAACAAATAGGGCTGACTGCCCGTACTTTAGCGTAAAAAATGTACCTTTTACTTTTACCCTTACGAAAGCAGCAGCCTCGTTTTTTCGTCGTCTCCCGTATTTAAGGAAACACCACTTCCACTGCATCTGGAGAATACATTTCGTGAGAAATCGACCTAAAAATCGTAGATCTTTTATGTTTCTGAGAAGCAGATGAAAAATTCCGTAATCTGAAATTTCTATCAGGAGAACAAGAATATTTTAATACGAAATCTATATCAGTAAAACATAATGTGTGACAAGGACTGTGAAAACATATTTATACCTTCTTTCGTTTCTGTGATGCCCATATAACAATTTTTAATGAGACATTTGTATCAGGAGAACATAAAGTGAGAAAATGTCTGGCTAATATATTCTGTGATCCTGATACCAGAATTGGTATCAAGACAATTTGATTGTGAGAAGTTGATTTGTTTACAATTAAGTTTCTTCCCTTTTTATGATCATGAGAATCATCATAAGAAATTTGTATCAAAGAAACGTAATTCGCGACAGAGTTTGACAAAACTATTTAATTGTTGCATACGTTTCTGTGAATCTGGTCCATCACGAGAAATTTGTATCAGGAGAACATAATTCGTAACAAAAGAACAAGAATAGAAAACTTGTATCAGGGGAATCAAATAAATATGGGGAGTAACAATAAGTTTTATACTTTTTTACGTACCTATGTGTAATTCTGATACATTTCTAAGTGTATCAGGAGAATATAATTAGTGGGAAGGAGTCTGAAAATCAATTTTATACCGTCTTCCGTTTCTTGAACCCTGCTACAATGATCCTTAATGAGAACATACTAATATTTAAACGAGATCTAAAAATAAAATTTGCGGAATCTTCTGTTTCTGTGATCCTAATACACATATCGTAAAAAGACCATTGTACCGGCAAAGTATAGGTACTACGGAGTTGAAAACAAATTTACACCTTCTTGCATTTCTGTGGTCCTGACACTACGTTCTTAAAAACAAGTAATCAACCGTCGCACTAACGATTGGTTCAGGTGTATTTTTCAAATGTACTTACCGAACCGACATACTTATATTTAATTTGCTTTTAATCTCAAGGACATAACAAAATTTCATGAAAATCACTTCATGCGTAATAACGTTAGTTCTGCACATGCGCAAATTCACTTTATAGTACGTTTACTAGATCCACCTTTATGAGAAGCACCTATAATTAAAATGTAAAAAAACCAAGTTGGGATGCATTCGCGCAGAAACGGAAACGTATTCGACCTTTTTTTTTCTTTTCGCCCACCCCACGTCTGAGTGCTGAGATTTCAAACCATCAGACGTCCGTAAGAACGTACGCAAAGTTGTATCTTTCATGAAACATAACTTAAAAATTGTATTAAGAGAATATAATAAATGAGAAATGATTTGGCAGTAAATGTTATACCTTCTTCTGTTTTCTGTTATGCTGATACAATTTTTAATGAGGAATTTGGATCAGGATAACAAGAACCTTTTAATGAGTAATTTGTATTTGGCATTTGGGGAACAAGGTCCATAAGAAGAATTTTACACCTTCTGTTTCTGTGAGTCTGATACTCGAATTTTTTAATGAAAGTGAATAAGTGATAAGGATATCACACCTGCGTTTAGGTGATCCAGATACTTCAATTTCTTAACGATAAATTTGTATCAGGAGAACAAGAAATTTTAATGAGCAAATTGTAACTAGAATGACAACTCGTGCGACTCGGGCAGTAAATTTTATACGTTCTTCCCGATACAAACATTTTGTAATGACAATTTTTTATCAAGAGAATAGAATAAGTGAGAAGGATTCTGACAACAAATTTTGCAACTTCTTCCGTTTTTGTGACCCCGAGACACAGAGAAATTTGGATTCTGGAAAACTTCAATGCTTTTTTTGCGTTTCTGTTAAAAGATATGGGGCCTGGATTAAAGCTTCCGTAGGTTAATTCAAAACTGTTTGCTTAGAAATAGTATCAGGAGAACGCGAATCTTTTAATGAGAAATTAGAATAAGGGACATATGGAAATACTTTTTTCGTTACTGTGATCCTGGTCAAAGAAAAATTTGTATCAAAAGAAAAGAAATTTTTCAGAGACAGCCGGGAAAACAATCGGTGAGAAGAAGTCTGGAAACAAATTTTGCAGCCTGTGATCCTGATACAATAATATTGAATGAGAAATTTGTGAAAGTGGCCCTGTCAACAAAGTTTTCTGCTTTTTCCATTTTCCTAATCCTGATACAAGAATTTCTTGGCAGGAGAAGGATTTGAAAGTTACGAACATTTTAAAAATAAAAAATATTAATTTAAACGGAAAGAATATACAGGGTGTTCTAGATTAAGAGGAATTGCATGGGTAACTTTGTTAGTATTGAGTACATCTTACAAAGTTAGTCAACGAACCGTAACGATTTCCTTTCATTTCAGCCGAAGACATCCTCCTTTTACAACAGGTTGGATTTCCAGTAGTACAGCAGTGTGTGAATTATTTGGCTGACGGGATCGAGGGTGTTAAGGACTACGATCCCAGAACGGGCTGGCAGCACAGTAAGTATTGCGCTCGGACTTAATTTTTAATGTTAATTATCTTTCTAACGGATCGCAAATGAAAAGATTAAAAATTCATTGCGTAAATCCGTGAAACACAAAATTAAAATGGCGCCCATTCCATACAACTTGTTTAAAACAATAACAGATTATCCAATACCAAATTACACTTGAGACAGCAGTTCGATTGAAACCAGTGCATCTTTTTAAAAAAATTAATAAATTAGGATGGATCCTACCTAAGAAACTGCTATTAATCTCTATTGATTCGCACTCTCAAAGCCCTTATTTCTGGATAAGGCTTCATCCGTGATTATTCTTGATCGCCGATGATTCTTTGTTCCTAATGACACTTCATTCTTTGCCCTTGAAGCTCCTTATTGCTTGATCCTTAAGTCTGAGACTTTTGATCATGTTTCATCCATGATTACTTCATTTACTACAATATTTGTTTTATGATGAGTTTGATTTCGTAAAGATCCGTGAAGCTTAACGATCTTTTATCCTTCATCCTTACGACCATTACTTTTTGACGGGTCTCCCTCTTAATAATCATTCATTTTTGATTCCTTGATTAACAACGAATTACTTGATTAATGACGAACTTGATTTACGGGTATTGATCATCGATCTTTGAAGATCCTTGATGATCATTTATCCATAAATCTCGTGGAACCTTATTTATTGTTAATTTTTTAAGATCCCTAATCTGTCATGCTTTTTGATTCATAATAATTTGACCTTTTACCATTGATTATCCTTGAACGTCGATAATCATTGGTATTTGATGATAAGTGTTCCATTTGATACCTACTTGATTTTGACGATTTCTTTATTACATCTTTTGTCGATAACCCCCACCAATCTTCAATCATTCAGCATTATCAACCTTTGACGATTATTGATTATCGATCATTCTTTATCCTTGATTCACGGCGAGCTTTCCACGATTTTGAATCTTGATGTTAGTAATTTTTTATGATCATCTTTATTCCTCGATTATCCTTTTTTCGTAATCCTTAATTAATGATTCTTTTTGAATACCTTTGATGCTGAATCTTTAATCCTTATTGTAATCTTTGATCTTTATCTTTGATCGTTGTCTTTGATCTTTATGTTTGATGTTTATCTTTGATCTTTATTTTTGATCTTAGTCTTTAATTCTTAACTTTCATTCTTTTACCTTTAATCTTTATTTCTAATCCTTGATATTTAATATCACTTGATTATCCATAATATTACGTTATTGTTTACTTGATTAATAACCAATTTGATCCATGATGATTTTTAATTCTTGATCATCTTTGGTCCTTGATTCTCATCCTTGCTGCTTGATAGTACTTGTTCCTCCATGATTCCATGTTCCTTAGTGTCATTTGGCCCTTGACACTTGACGATTGTTGTTTAAAGGTCCTTGACAATCTGAAGTTTTTTAATCCTCTTTTTTGACGGTCCTCGATTCTTAATTATCCTTACTTCATCCTTGATTAGCCGATTAACAATGAACGTTGATACATGAGTATCCTTCGTTTTGAGGTTTGGGTCAAGACAATGACTTTCGATGCTGATTCTTCATAAACGTCATTCTTTTCTTCTTAATTTTCGACATTCATCAACCACTAATTATTATTAACCATTTTTTGATTCTTGATTATGTTTTTATTATTGGATTCATGACGAATTTGGATTCTTAAAAACCCTTAATATTTTGTTGCTTTCCTATCTTTGAGAATCATTAATGGCTCATGGTTCTTGATATCCCTCAATCCTTGATTAATCCATTCTCGGCAGTCCTTCATTCTCGCTTAATTAATAATCTTTGATATACATGATGATGGTAATTATTATGATAATTGACTTAGGACCGGTTTTGATGTTTCAGTTTAACTTATCTGATAAATAGATAACCTTCCACGTGAATACATTTGTACCCGCGTAAGTTAACTGTCCGATAGATTTAACGGTAGCATGAAAAACCAGCTCCGGTATCGTCCGTTGATAAGAGGACGAAACAGGCCACCAGATATATGGGCTTGCTCGTGCTCGAAGGGCAATAACTCCTCCCAGTATCTCAAAAAGAAGCTGATATTAAGAGAACCGTCCGATAAAGTTAAGCGACATTAGATTCTTAATAATCCTTTTTCTTGTACATTTCCTCATAATGTGATTATTGCGGCTCTTTGATTATCAAGATCCTTTAACTATTTATTTTTCAGAACGATCCTTAATCTTTGAATACTTGATTTTTGATAGTATGTCACTTGACTACTGGATTCATGGTCAAATTGGATCTACGATTATTGTTGATGATAGTATACATGATCAGCAATGCCTTATGATCCTTGATCTTTTATCAATCAATGATCCTTAATTTTTGGCGGATCTTGACCCTTGATAATTTTCGTATTCGCGGGGAAACTTTAATCCATGATCATCTTTGATCTTTAATGAAATTGACATGCATTCATACCCTTGATGCTTCATGACTTTTGATCCTTAATTATTGTTAAGCCATGACGATATATGTCCCGGGTGACCCAATAAAACTGTTCCTCGGCCATATCTCGAGAACCGTTCGTCATATGACTTAGGGGTAAAAAAAAATTATTGGGTAAATCGGTCATGAAGAATCGCTGGAAAATATTTTCAAGTTCTAAAAATGACCAACAGAGGGCGTAACTGCCATCTTAAATTTTAAAATTGCATTTTCTATAAATTTTGCATAAGAAACTAAACATTTTTAAAGAGAACCAGTTTATCTATCATTTTCGTAAAAACCGCCAGGGGGCTAGTTTTGACACTATGATCCAAAATCCTAAAAAAATTAAAAAAATCAAATGGAATGATATGACTTTTTGGTTTTCTTTATGAAAACGTAGCCAAATAACGCCCAAAGAGGCCAGTGAAAACCGTTTTTCAAAATCTCGTTCCTAACCTCAAATAGTGGGAAAATGAGATTAATTAATTAATTAATAAAAATGCTTAAATTGTATCTTATTTGACGTATGTATTTCCAGTATTTGTCGATGGCGCGAAAGAAAAGCACCCTACACTTTTAGGTAGGACTTGGACAGTTAAACAAATGAAACACGATGCATTATAAAATAATAACAGCCGTAATTTGTAAATTATTCGGCTGTGTTTACGCATTTAATATGCTGGCGGAGATGGTTCCTGGTCGATTCGGATAACGCAAATATATAGAAGATGCGAGCAGCGATGGTCGCATTTTGAAAATACTCAAAATATATCGCCAGCATATTAAATGCTTCTTGGTTAGAAATCGGCATTTTAGAAAACATTACAAATTCAAAAAATGTTCCAAAAACCCACTCGCGGGTATTGCCGCGTAACACAAGTATTGAAACGATGCATGGTCATCGAAAGCTCACAAAATGTCGAATCTGCATATTGAAGTCCACGTCCAGAGAAAGAGAGGAGTTAAATAAGTAAAATAAAGTTTCAAAGAAATATTACCATACATAAGAAAGTTGGCTATGAGCAGTCTGTGCAGTCACTGCGCATGCCCACATAATTTTTACCATGTGCGAAATGTTTGCCTTTACTAGAAGCATCTGTTGTTAAAATTTCAAAGAAATATCTCCATAAATAAGAAATTTGGCATTGCGCAGTATGACCACACAATTAATTAATGAATCTCATTTTCCCAATATTTGAGGTTAGGAACGAGATTTTGAAAAACGGTTTTCACGGGCCTCTTTGGGTATTATTTGGCTACTTTTTTATAAAGAAAAAGAAAAAGTCATATCATTCCATGGTCGGGTGTTCGAACCTGGTTTGAGGTGAATTTTTCATCTGTGGCAGAGGAATTTCCTTAGATCAGTTTCGAGCATTCTGCCGGCTACTCCGAATTAGGTTTTCCTGCAGTTTTCCTAACTCGTAGGGTAAATACCGCAGTAGTATAGAACAACTGACCTTCTGCAGGGGCACCTGTAAAAAGCATTATGCGGGTCACTCTGTAATTGGGCGTAAGCCTGTTGAGGGACTTGAACAAGAGGGACAATAAATAAATAAATAAATAAATAAATAAAAATAAATAAAACTAGTCTCCTGGCGGAGAAGGATTCAACTAAATTAACAAGGAATACTCTTTTCAACCATACCAAATTTGTTAAAATCGGTCAAACCGTTAAGAAGTTAAAGCAGGTTATTGCAAAAACAATTGAACGCCCCACACCATCTTTGTTTTTGAAATAACCAAGTTTTTGTTTTTACGAAAATGTTAAACTGGTTCTCTTTAAAAATGTGAAAAAAAATTGGTAAGTTTCTTATGCAAAATTTATAGAAAATGCAATTTTAAAATTTAAGATGGCAGTTACGCCCTCTGTTGGTCATTGAACTTGAACTTGAAAATATTTTCCAGCGATTCTTCATAACCGATTTACCCAATTTTTTTGCCCATTAGTCATATGACGAACCAGTAGTGTAGCAGAGGGGTTCCTGGCTCACTTCAAGGTCGCTCGCTACCTGGTGGTGACCTTGGAAAGGAGGTCAAGGTGACATGGCTGTGACCTTGGGAATTGGGTCAAGGTGAGAGTTGAGTGACACGTGCTCGGTGACCTTGGAAATTAGGTCAAGGTAAAAGTCACGTGCCACGTGGGCGTTGACCTCAATTTTCATCCGAGACCATTGACCCCATTAATGTTCAAGGTCATCCGAGATCATTGACTCCATTTAATTTTCAAGGTCATCCGAGCTTATTGACTCCATTAAATAGGTCATCCGAGATCATTGGTTCCATTAATTTTGAAGGTCATTCGAGGACATTGACCCCATTAATGTTAAGGTCATTCGAGGTCGTTGATCTCATTAATTTTCAAGGTCGTCGGAGGCTATTGGCCCCATTTTTGGGACATCAAATTGCATTTCCAATGTCATCAGAGGTCATTGCCCCCATAAATGTTCAAGGTCACCCTCACCCGAGGACATTGGCCTCACTTTTTTGTTATCAAATTAGATTCTCAAGGACATCCGCGGTC